TCTGGTGCGTGCGCCCTCCTGGGCCGGCTACTGGGGTTCCCATGGAGGTTCGGTTAAGCCCAGGAAGGTGGCGGAGGCCGCGGGCACCGGCCATTCCCTGCCGGCTCCCGCCGCAGCCCGAGGACAGCGAGTCGGCAAGGTGAGGGGCGGCCCGCCAGGAAAGATCGGGGCGAGCTTGGACGGGATCCGCGGGGTCCGCATCGTCAGCCAGCGCAGGACCGTGGGCTCGGTGCAGGGCCCCCAGCTACCCGTGTTGCACGGGATGGGCGCGGGTCCCTCACAATAGGGTGGGCCGGCTGGCGGCCGTCGCTCGTCCACAGACGTGGGGAGCGGCGATGAGAAGGGGGCGCAGGCACCTCCTTCCCAACCGAAGGATCGGGGTGCGAGGCTCAAAGTTTCATGACAGGCCCACTCAGGCATCGAGGTCTGGTGGGTGCTTGGGTGCAGAGACATGACGAGGCAGGCTGGTCGCACCCAAGGAGGGTGGTATGATACCAGCCCCTGCCCCCCAACACACAGCTGGGTGTCTGCACGCATGCACGTGTGTAGTCACGTCTACACGTTATCAGCTGGCTCTTGACTCAAGGACCCCACATACAACAGAACAAAACACTGCTGCCTCCTGCCCCGTCCTCAAAGTCGTTGCCACGTTTGAGCCCCTGTGGCAGCCACTGAGTCAGTCCCTCTCACTGAGGGACTTCCTCTTTTTCACTGGCCCTCTACTTTACCAAGCATGAGATCCTTCTCCAGGAAGCGGCCCCTGCTGATAACACGTCCAAAGTACAGGAAACGAAGTCTTGCCATCCTCACTGGTAAGGAGCATTCCGGCCGTACTGCTTCCAGACAGATTTGTTAGTCCTTCTGGCTGTCCACAGTATGGTTCAGACTCTCTGGCAACGCCAAAACTCAAATGCATCAACTCTCCTTCAGTCAGCCTTATTCATGGTCCAGCTTTTGCACACACGAGGCGACTGAAAATACCATGCCCTGGGGCAGCTGCACCTTAGTCCTCAAAGTGACTTGCGCTTTTTAAGATTTTAACAAGGTCTTTTGCAGCAGATTTTGGCCAATACGATATGCCTGGTTTCCTCACTATTGCTTACACGGGCGGTAATTGTAGATCACATACGTAGGGCATAACATGCGGACTAGGAGCTCTGGTAGCATAGTGCCTAAGGCACTTGACTGCTAACCAGAAGACTGGCGGTTCAAACCCACCAGCCACTCCTCAGAAGGAAGGTTGGGCAATCTACTTCCGTGGTGACACTGCCTCGGAAACCCAAGGAGGAGTCGCTATGCGTCGGGTCTAACTCGACGGCACATAACAATAACGACAACACACAGATTACAAAGATCCAGATGACAGGGCTAGAACGCCTCCCACACCCCAAGCCCATCCACCTTCCCGCATCTCCCCCAGAGTGAGGGCCCTCCAGCCTCCTGCTGGCGGTCATTGCACATCCCAGCCAAGGGCTGCTGGAGAAGCCCTGTATCTGCACTTCGGCCGTTGGGCCAGGAGGCTGTGGCCAGTCATCATGTCCCTGTATCACCACGTCAGGAGCCTTTGTGGAGGGCACTGACTCAGTCATTAGTCAAGGCAGTGGCTCAGGGACCTTCTCTCTGGCCATCTCTGGAGGGGAGGGGCAGGGACCTGGGGCCCTGCATCCATGGCCTTCATCTCCTGCAGTTTCACATCTCCGTCACTGAAGACTCGTCTCCCAATATCCTCTGCTGGCGTCCCTGCTTCAGCAAATGCCTTCCTCTCTCATGTTCTGGTGGCGCACATACTCCTACTGAGGGGTGTGGTGTGGTCATGACCATCAGATAGCAGTGCTAAAAGCACAAATGTCTCCATCCTGTTCTCACCCTTGACTTGTAATTCACCTAGGCAGAGAACCTTTCTAGGTAAGAACGATTTTCCTACGGGGTTCACCTATATGTCTTCTCTCCTGGGACTGTTAGGAAATTCAGGCATTTGGCTGCTAACCAGAAGGTTGATGGTTCAATCCCATCAGCTGCTCTGCAGGAGGCAAATGAGACAATCTCCTTCCATAAAGATTTACAGTCTTGGCAACCCAGCGGGGGTCACTATGAGTCAGAATCAACTCGATGGCAGTGGTTTTTTGCTTTGTTTCCTTTGTTGTTGTTGTTATGTGCTGTCGAGTCAGCCCCGACTCATAGCGACCCCTCCTTGGGTTTCCATGGCAGTATCACTACAGAAGTGGATTGCTCAATCTTCCTTCTGAGGAGTGGATGGTGGGTTTGAACCACCAGCCTTCTGGTTAGCAGTCAAGTGCCTTAGGCACTAGGCTACCAGAGCTCCTTTGTTTCCCTTAGGGTTTAGTTTTTATTCCCCCACCATTTATACATGGCCTGGGCTTTCCCCCTGGAAGCCTGTAGGATCTTCTCTTCAAATTTCACAGTGACATGCCTTAATGGGATACGACTTCCACTGACTGTGTTAGGCACTCAACAGGCTCCCATGGTATGTCCTCTCCTTTGGTTCTGGAAAATTAACGATTTCTACCCATGACCCCTCCCCGGTGTGCCGTTGCCTCTTTCTGGAACTGCAATTTTAGGCTGTTAGATGCTGCAGACTGGCCCTCAAGTTTTCTTCCTATATCCTTCCTATCTTCTCTTTTCTCTGTTGTTTCAGAGGTTTCTCTCAGCTTTCACTTCCAGATCTTCTACCCAGGTTTCAAACGTCTGCCTCATAGCGTTTAATTCCTAAATGCTCTTTCTTTCAGCAATGTTTCTTTTTGGAGAAAGGGGACATCTGTGCTTCCCTGAGAGTACCGATGATAATGCTGAAGTCTTCGTCCCCCACAGTCTGTTCCCACCATGGGCCTTGCTCTGTTTCCCTGGGCCTTTAGCTTCCATGTCAGACCCTGCACAGAAGTCTGCTCGTGGTGAAGGACGACACAGAACTATTTGGGAGCACTAGGGTTGTGGGTGGTGGCTGTGTGCCCTGGAGCTCACTCCGACTCCTAGAGGCCCTCTAGGACACAGTGGAGCCCCATAGGGTTTCCCACAAAAGAACCCAGGGCTTTTCTCCCGCGGAGTGGCTGGTGAGTCCAACTGTCAACCTCTCGGTTGCAGCCAAGTGCTTAACCACTGCGCCACCAGCACTTCTCAAGCCCTAGCTTGACTCCAGGGACTGGGGGCTGTTGATTGAGGAACCCTAAGAACCTCTAAGTCGTCCGCGGTAGCTGGTCCGGCGCCAGGTCCAGGAGCCGTGAAGGGCGTGACTTGACCAGAGCACCTTGTGTCCCGGAAACGTGTTCGCGACCCCCTGACCCTCGTTCTGTCACTCTGATCCTCGGTCCCGCCCCTCACACGCGATCCCTCAGCCCCTCTTCCTGCCCCCTGCCCCTCGGTCCGGACCCCTGAGCGGCTCCGCCAGCCCAGACCTCAGTTCTCAGCCTTCGACCTTCTTAACCCCGCCCTCAGCCTCGGTCCTGCTCCTGCGTCCCCGTAGCCCCGCCCCCAGCCCAGTCCCGCTTCTTTGTCCCCGTAGCCCCGCCCTCATCCCAGTCCTGCACCTCTCCCTGGTCTCGCGATACCCGGCCAGTGGGCGGTGCGATCCCTGAATGGCGGGGCCAAGGGGCGGCTCCGCGGCGAAGTTTCTCGGGGGAAGTAGTCAGTGTGGATTGTGCTATGGCTGCCCTACGTGTCCTGCTGCCCCGCGCCCGCGGCCCGCTGTGGCCCAGGGCTGGCTGCTCCACGCTGCGTTCCTTCGCCTCAGGTGAGCGGGGGCGGATGGCCCCGGGGACCGGCTGGCGGCCCAGACTAACCCGGCCTGACCCCAGAACCCTGGTTCACCTCGGCCTGCGTTCCATGGCCGGCCTGACCCGGCCCGGCCCCCCGCCGTCCTGCCTGCGCTCCACGCCCCTCCAGAGGCACTGAGCCTTGTGAGAAGGGAGACCAGCTGGGGTCACTAGCACCTGTGGTTGCCTCTGCGCCTGGCTGTGACCTTGAGGCGGCTCCTTCCACATGTGTTCTGTGGCTTTAAGAGAACTGCCCGTAAGAGACACAAGCTTTCCAAGTCTGTTCTCTGCTCCCTCGTCCAAGGCCGGAAAAAACTTCACCCAAGTACATCGCCTCGTCTTCCTTCTGTGCAGCAGCTAGGGGGCTTGAACCGCCTGCCTTGTGGTTAGCAACCCACTTAACCACAGCACCACCAGGACGCCTTGGTAACAGTGGCAGCGGTGGTCGTGTCCTGCCTTTACGTGACAGGCGCGCTACTGACAAGCAGGTTGCAAACGTTCATCGAGTGCCCAATATACCTGTAGCTGGGACCTTTGTCCCAATTCCACGACCTTGCGCAGACGCACTTTCTTCATGCTAACCCCATTTCTCTCCAAGCCAGCACTCTCCCCTATCTGTAACTCACCATTGGCACCCTTACCTGTCTCCACCCCCGCACCTGGCTGCAGCCCTCCTCATCTACTAGCACTCTTATCTGTCTGAGCCCTCCCACCCTCTGCCAGCACCCTCACCTGTCTGCACCCCCCACTGCTGGCACCCTCATGTGTCTCTCACCCACACTCACCTGGCTGCACCCCCCACCCTCTGCTGGCACCCTCACGTGTCTGCACCCCTCACCACTGGTACCCTTATGTGTGTCTCCCCCCCCCCGCACTCTCACCTGGCTGCACCCCTCGCACCCTCTGCTGGCAGCCTCACCTGTCTGCACCCCCCACTGCTGGAACCCTTATGTGTCACCCCTACACACACTCTCACCTGGCTGCACCCCCCCACTGGCACCTTCTCCTGCCCACACCCTCCACTGTCTGAGTCCCCCTCCCCCTGGGAGTGTATGGAGAAGCTGGTGGTCATCTCTGCTCTAGGAAGAGCCATCCAGGCACTTGTGGAACTGGGCTTCCTGACCATGTGACTAGTCTCCATGTCAGGCACTTAATTAATTGGGGTCCTGGGTGAAAGTGCAGTGGCACAGAGGCCACATTCAATGTGTGGTTCTGGGCAGAACATTGCAGCCATCGAGGGCTGAGCGGGGGTCCCTGGGTCCCCCGGTGTGGTCACTGTGTGAGTGGGTGCCCTCCATGCCCCTTCCTCCCAGGTGCCAACTTTGAGTACATCATCACTGAGAAGAAGGGGAAGAGCAGTAACGTGGGGCTGATCCAGCTGAACCATCCCAAAGCGCTCAATGCGCTGTGCAGGGGCCTCATGTCAGAGCTCAGCCAGGCACTGGAGGCCTTTGAGGGCGACCCAGCTGTGGGGGCCATCGTCCTCACTGGCAGCGAGAAGGCCTTTGCAGGTGGGTGGTCGGCAGGGTGTGCGGGCCACAGGGAGGGAACGGCACTATGGCGGATGGCACGCAGGGACTTCCAGACTAAAGGACTCGTCTGGAAGCCTCAGCGCAGCCTGGGGGTCATGTGAGTGCCCAGTGAAGGTGCACAAGGCCTGCAGGTGACTCTGAACGTGTCCACAGCCGCTTGGGCCTGTGCCACAGGGCTCTGATTCCACTGGCATTGCCTCTGTCACACACGTCATACATGTTGCAGCTGGCCAGATGCATGCCCTGTGGCAGGCACCTTGTTGCCACACATGGTTGACTCTGACATTTGGGGGACGTGTGAGTGGCAGGGTCCTCATGCTGCTGGTGGGAACATGTTCCGCTTCTCTCTAGCGGGAGCTGATATCAAGGAGATGCAGAACTTGACATTCCAGGACTGCGTCGCTAGCAAGTTCTTGAGCCACTGGAATCAAGTGGCTCATGTCAGAAAGCCAGTGATCGCGGCCGTCAACGGCTACGCGGTGAGTGTCTCCTCAGAGCCCATAGGACAGTGCAGGCAATGAGCCTGGGCATTTGAAACACAACATGGTGCCCCCAGACCAGCAGGTGCCTCTCCTCCTGGCTGGTTCTGAGAGCCAAGCACATTTCCACTTCTGCTCCCCTTGGCCCCCTGGAAAGCACTCGGCCCCCAACGTGGGATGGTGGATTTTCTGCACAGTTTGGATGATGTCTGGACCTTTGTTGCCTCTGTGAACCCTGTCAACCACCGTTTCAAGCTCTGTATCTTCTGTATCCCAGGGTCTGCTCTGAGATGGGGCTGCTCTCCATCTTTAAGGGAGCAGTGTGGTGAGGTAATTCTGGTACTTACTTGGTGACCACCCTTTGGTGTAAGCTGGGATCAACAAAGCACATGCCTCACAGCCAAATGCAGTGCTGCCTGTTTGTAAAGTTTTGTCGGCACAGTCACGTGCATTTGTTCGGTATTCTATTCAGCTGCTAAAATTGGGAGCTAAGTAGCCACGAGGGGCCCATGGCCCACAGAGCAAGAGTATGTTGTACACAATTGACGCCACCTGTTATCCCTGCCGAGCCCAGGCCCTGCAAGGGAGGAGCTCGGAGACTGTCTCAGATCAGACTCCTGGAAGCTTGGGATTTCGGAGCTGATACAGGACACAGAATAGGAAAGTTAGGAATATTCATGGGTTTTCCAGGAACTTGTTAACTCTGCATTAGGCTTATTAACATGGTGGGAAGTGCAGTGGCATGGCCACTGAGGGGTAAGTATCTCAGGTTCTGATGTATAAAGGTTGGTTAAGGATATAGTCCAGACCTATTGCCCATGGGTGAATAGGAACGTTTAGGGTAGGAAAATGTTCTGGATAACTAGCAAGATTTATAGCAGGAACTTGGTTAGTATTTCAGTCTCGTGGTTAAACTGCCTGGATCAGGACATTCTTATATGCCCTCCGGATGTGCCTCATCCATCATAGCCCTGCCACGCCCAGGCTCTGCCTGTCTCAGCGGAATGTTTAGGTAAGACAGTGGAGAGGCTTTCTGACTTGGCTCTGTGTCTGCAGCTTGGTGGGGGCTGCGAGCTGGCCATGATGTGTGACATCATCTACGCAGGAGAGAAGGCACAGTTTGGACAGCCCGAGATCCTTATAGGCACCATCCCAGGTGAGTGGCCACTGACCTTGAGCATGAGCCCTCAGGTGCATCCGTGTGCCAGCCCCCATGCAGCGTCATGTCTGTCACCAACGATAAAACAACAGGCTTGCGGTTGGGCTTGACAAACAAGCCTGGAGCTGGGAACCCTGAGCAGCCAGAGCACAGAGCCAGGTCAGGGGGTGTGAGGCCAGGAAAGCTTATCCCCATGGCCTCCATCCTGTGAAGGCAGAGCCTGAGCCTGAGTGGGCAGTGGGGTCTCCTTGAGTGTGTCCTAAGCATCCTGACACCTGTGGGCAGGGCGATGGGGTCAGGTGTCCCTCCTGGCTGGAAGGCACTGAGTGAGGTAGACTGAGCTGCCAGAGGGGTCATTTGGGCAGGTCCCTGCTCCCACTTTCAGAGGTGTGTTTGGGAGGAGCAGGAATGGGATGTCTGGGTGGGGGAGTGCCAGTGGAACCCCCATCCACACCCTGAGGGAGAGCAGGCTGCCCTCTGGGTGTGACCTCGGATTCTGGAGATCAAAGCATGAGGAGCAAGCATTGGTTCAGGGTCTAACTGCACCTGGGAGCTATTGGTAAGGGGCCCAGAACCTAGGAGGTAGAGGACTGAGGCAGTGAGACTTGGAACCTTCTAGAAGGTAGGTGGATAAGAGGGGGCGGGGCCTTAGCTCTGGGACTTGGACACCACATAAAACAGTGTTTGGTATGGGAAGGGCACCAGACCAGGGAGGGCTTGGTTGCAGGCCCCGTTTCAGTCTCCAGAGTGAACCCTAACTATGAGGTCCTTGCAGGTGCTGGGGGCACACAGAGACTCACACGAGCCGTCGGAAAGTCGCTGGCGATGGAGATGATCCTCACTGGTGACCGGATCTCGGCCCAGCAGGCAAAGCAGGCAGGTGCGGCTGTGGGGGTAGGAGTGAGGGAGCCTGCATCCAAGCTCAAATGCCCAGAGTATCCCAGAACTGAGGGCTGGCAGCTTCCATCTTCTGTCTTCTGAGCACACACTCAGAAGAGTAACTCGGCTGTACATACAGGTGTGGAAACAGTGTAGCAGAGCTGGCATCAGACCTCCTCTGACTTCACCAGGGAAGGAGAATCCAGACCAGCAGGCCCAAGGCTGATTCTTAATGAGGTGGAGGTGAGACATACCTCCACCCTCCAACTTTGTTACCAACTCCAGCACTTTCTACTTCTCCGCTGGGTTCAGTGATTCATTGCAATGGCCACACTGAACTTGCAGACCATACTCAAAATTAGGCGTTTATTAGGGAAGCAATAATTTGCAATCCAGGACCAGAAACAACTCAGGATACATTCTTGGGTCAGCACAACCACTTCTTGCCGTGCTGGGAGGCATCTCTCCCCTTCACTGCTCTCTTGGGCCTTTTGGGTCAGCAGGCCTTTGTCCTGCTTGGGCAAATGTTAGCAGAGCTCTGCAGCTCTGCCAGGTGCCCAGAGGCACTCCACTTCACCAGCAAGCCTCCTACCCACAGGTGCTCATATTTCTCTCACTGTAAGCCTGGAAGCCCACTGCATCTCTTCTGCTGGTCTCTTCAACTGCTGCCTCTGGTTCTCACTGTCTCTAGCCGTCTCCAGCATTACAGCTCACTCACTCTGTCTCCTGAGTCTAGGAAGTTCTCAGTGCAAGGATCCCAGCTCCGTAGGACACACACTCCACTCCATCTTTTCTTGGTATAGTCAAGTCCCTTGTCTATCTCTGGAATGACTCAAGCCCAGCGGGATGGCAAAACTGACCAATCCCCTCGTTAAGGTTCTATATACCTTATTTGCATGGTTCCATCCCCACAAACTGGACCACTCCTTACAACTGGATCAATAAGCAGCATCATGATAAATGGAGAAAAAGATTGAAGTCGTCAGGGATTTCATTTTACTTGGATCCACAATCAACACCCATTGAAGTAGCAGTCAAGAAATCAGATGGCACATTGCACTGGGCAAATCTCGTCCAAAAGACCTCTTTAAAGTACTGAAAAGCAAAGATGTCTCTTTGAAGACTAAGGTACACATAACCCAAGCCATGGTATTTTCTTTTCTTTTTTTTTTTCGGCTAACCGGAAGATATGGTGGTTCAATCTCACCAGCCACTCTGCAGAAGGAAGACTAGGCAATCTACTTCCGTAAAGATTTTCCACCTTGGAAACCCAATGGGGGTCACTGTGAGTTAGAATCGATTTGATGGCAGTGAGTTTGGATACACAACAAGACATTCCCCATTGTAACATCTTCCACATTTACAGCTCAGGGACACTGATGACATTTTTCATATTGTGCCACCATTATTGCTATCCTTTTCCAAAATGTCCCACCACCATCAGCATAAACTCAGTGCCCCACAAACAAAAACTTCCCCTTTGCCCTTTCTCCTACCTCTGGTAACCACCGATAATCTTTGGTTTCTTTTTTTTTTTCAACCTATGTAGGAATTTTCCCTCCTCTCCCCTCCCATCCCTGATAATTAGCAAAGAAATTTCCTTCTATGTATAAACCTTTCCTTGAGTTTTTTTTGTTTTTTTTTTTTTAATTGTGATTTGGATGAAAATTTACAGCGCAAATTGACTTTTCATATAGCAGTTCACATACACTTTGTTTCATGACATTGACTACAGTGTACCCCAATGCAACAGCTCCCCTTCCATTTCCTCCCGATAGTTACCTCTTCCCTGTGCCCAACCCTCCACGCACTCCTGCCCCCTGAGTTATCTCCCTGTGTATAAACAGCCCTTCTTTCTCCCATGATTGTTCCCATCAAGGAATGTATCTACCTCAGGTAAATGTTCACCTCATATGCCTGTCTTTTGTTTGTCTGGAAGCCACAGGTGTGGGTTCAATTCCAGACCTGAAGGGCAGCTAGGGGTCATAGTCTCAATGGTTCCACCAGGCTCTATCAGACCAGCAAACCTGGTTCCCCTTTTTTATTTTTCCCAAATGTTTTTGAGTTTCGTTCCACATTGTTCTCCCTCTCTATCCAGCATGTCTTGCATAGATCCCCTCCAAGTGGTTGACTAGAAGCTGGGTACCACCTAGTTCTTCTGGTCTCATAGTCATATAGGCTGCAGATTGGATGGTATACCAGTCACTAGGACTAATTGTTTCCATGAATTTTTGGTTTTCTTCATTCTTCTTGGCTCTGGACGAGGAGAGACCCATCACTGCATCTAGATGGCTCCTTGCAAGCTTTTAAGATCCCAGTCGCTACTTGACAAAGTAGGAGGTGGAACAATGTTCTGTGTAGTATGTTACGCCAGTTGAGCTTGATGTCCCCTGCGACTGTGGTCCCAAGCCCACAGGTTCGACTACTCGGTCTCTCCGGGTAGCTGGCTGTGACCAAGAAGTGACTACAACCTTGTCCCTTGTCAGCTCTGCTATACACCTGGGAATTCTTACAGATCATTTAATCATAGCCTTATAGGACCCCTGCTCCCAACCCTATACAGGATACACTCCCTGCTTCATAGACATAACATACCTCATAGTTCAGCCTGTCCACCCATGTATCTACCCATGTACCCATGTTTGTCTTCACTGCCAATGCAATACTATATGTGCAAAAGGGTTTATCTTTGTTGTCTGTACCTCCCATGTACCTCTTACGTCTTCCTCTTCCTCATTGTCACCATGTTGATCACTCACATTTGGTGCATTGCCCTTCTCTTCACCCAATCAGTACTTATCTCTATCTATGTAACAGTGTTCTCTCCCCTCCCCTCCCACCCCTGGTAACCAACGAAGAAAACTTCCTTCCACAGATAAACCTTTCCTTGACTTTTACAATACTGGACTAATACAATATTTGTCTTTCTGTGATTGACTTATTTCACTCAGCATAATGTCCTCCAACTTCATCCACGTTATGCAGTGTTTTCAGATTCTACGTTATTCTTTAGAGTTGCATAGTATTCCATTGTGTGTATGTACCATAGTTTGGTTATCTGTTCCTCAGTGGATGGACACCTAGGTTGTTTCCATCTTTTGACTATTGTAAATAGTGCTGCAGTGAACATGAGTGTGCATATTCTTTAGGATATGTACCTAGTAATGGAATGGCTGGGTCAAATGGTATTTCTAATTCCAGCTTTTGAAGGAATCACCATACTGCTTTCCACAGTGGTTGTACCATTTTACAGTCCCACCAGCAGCATATGAGATTCCCAATCTCTCCACATCCTTGCCAGCATTTG